GCAGTTGCTTCTCCCTCCCCATCTCTCCGGGTTCTTGCAACACAAGGGATGGATTCTCTCGTCGATACTGATGAAGATCGCCCAGTTTTCTAGCTTCTCCACCTTTACCCACCTTGCAGGTCCAGTTCATAAGTCCAGTTGGAAAGCTTCAAAAGTGTCCCCTGTTGATGGAGAATGTTTCTGCCAACCGACCATGAGAAGCATGTCACCACACGCGAGAAGCCACAGTTGCTTAAGATGCCATTTGTATGTCATACTTCCATCCAGATCAACTGCTATTTTCTGTATGCGTATCTGGGGTTCCAAGTGCACGATAGAGAGCCTGCGATCATGATCCATGCCAAAGATCTGGTCTTTGAAGACCGCGAGCTTCTTAATTGTTCCATTGCGAGGAGAATGTCTCAACCAAGAAGCGCTAGCAACACGCGAAAAGAAAATGTGGCATGCCGAATTGACCAGGAGATGTGAGTTGGGTGATGAAAGAGGAGCCGTGAGGGCAGCATAGTCGAGGAGAATGTATCCATCAACCGGTAGCCAAAGTTTTGGATTTCGTCCGGAATTTCAGGTTTTCGTCCAAAATAGGCCCGGTAAAAATACAAGCCGACCAAAATTTTCGGCCCATTTTGAATTTCCGGCCCAGCCCATAGTGCACATACACTCGCAGATGGTCTAAAGTGCTCTACCGAAGCCTCTCAACCCTAATCTTGCGTCCTCCGCTTCTCTTTACAGAGCAGCGGCGGCGGCTACTGCCTACGAGTGATGCAGCTTCTCTGAAACAAAATATGAATCAAAGGAAAAATATTAGAAGAATGAAGTGGATATCTAAAAAAGTTCCGAACAGAGAAGCAACACAAAGTGCCAAAGATACAATGGCTAGTGCATGTGTGTCTCCTGAGATGCTTGTCATGAGCACAGATAACAAATATGCGCTAGGATAAAAACATAAATGACACTAGTGACACAGTATACAGCAAGGGGTTCGATCGACAGTGTAAACCAGTGTCCTGCTTCGAAAACATCAGTAATTACTGCAAGCAGACGTACACAAAGCAGATGAAACCAAAAGCTCCACAGAGCCACGGGTCCCCTCTCATGGATGCATGAAAAATGTTGTTGTACAATCATATGTGCTTTACACGACAATAAATATCCAAATAAGGAATTTGATATGATCAATTTGAGAAAATAGTCATGTCACGATACTTTCCTGTAGTTAAAACTTCTTTTGGCATGTTTACTACCTTTAGCCGTCTATACACAAGTGTTTAAAACTTGGAAAACACTAATGACACCATAACACGGCAAGAGATTGGATTCAGATGGACTAGTCTGCTGCTGACAAGTACATCGATAATCAAATCTGGCAAATATTTGTAACATTGCCTCAGTTTGTACTAGTGCGATTGTCATGTCCTGGAAATGTCAGTGGTTACTTCAATGTGAATACTATCATACACCAATCAGTCCAATGTGAGAAGATGATGGGACCAAAATTCCATTCAGCCGTGATAGTTGTCATTTGGAAGCACGTGCGTGGCTGTTGTATTACTATGTGAGAAAATGACAACACATGATGGAACAATCTCTTACTAAAAAGATCTTGTTTGTAAAAGCTAACCCCATCCATATTTCAGAATATTATACTGAAACGGGGGACAGATGGTTCTACATTTCTCCCAAAGAAAACAGGAGCCTCTATTAGTAACAATGTCCAACCAAAAGATCGGTACATAGAAATGCTAGGGTTCTTCGACTTGGGTAACCCAAATTCCCCTTCCCATCTGCAGATCAGTTCGTTGGGTGGACTCAGTTTAATTTCTGCTCAGAACCACCAAATCTTCCAATCTAGGGTTCTACACTTCTACCAAGTGGGAATCCAATCTACGCCAACCAAACTAGTACAGTGCTAGAAAAGGTTCAGGAGGGAAAGAGGGGAGGGAGACAGAGAGCATGCCTGGTGAGAGGTGAATTCGTTTTTCTGGAACAAGCACAACATTTTGGTTTAGTTATTCTTTCCTAGAATGCAAACAATGAAAAATATGAGGATAGTCGTTCGAGATCAACAACATTTTGAACTAAAAACTGGACTTGGACTTATCTCTCACAACATTTTGAACTTTGGCTCAACCCCACCTCTCAAAAATGTATTTTAAATCCTCCAAAAACAAACTGCGTCAACCATCAATTCAAGAGTCGGATTTTTGTCGGCCCGGGATCACTCGAGCTCTGGAGGCAAAAGCAATTTTGTTAAGAGCTCTGCTTATGTTCATTGGAGGCGGAAAACAAACAACACATGTTCAGACAGTGTGTTCCGTTCTTGAACTTGAGAGAAAAAGGTCGCCCAGCCATGGAACTGAAGATAAATATCAGGTTTCTCATTGAAGTATCATGCAGCAACATATTATGCATCCGGGTGAACCTGATGGTAGGTGTGTATTTTAGTCTCTGACCAGAGAAAAATTGAGACACGAGCAATTTTGATTATCCATTCCAAACAAGCATTGACAGTTTTGACAGATCTTTAGCATTGTACTAAAACTTGCAACTAAGTAAACATTCACAAGAGCTGAACTTGCAACTAAGTAAACATTGACAGTTTTGACAGTTCTTTAGCATTGGACATGCAGATATACGTTGGACGAAATTAAGATAACGTGGTCAAGAAGTTCCAAACTTTTCCGCTGGGGAAGAGAGGAGCAACAAATAGTTCAAAGTATTATGCATCAAGCAGTGCAAGATTAATTAAACAACACAACTAAATTAATACTACTAACTTGATTAGAAGCTTGACTACTCCCAACAAGCTCCAAGCACCAAACTGCTGCAAAAGCTTCAGTACTAACCCCACCAAGTTCTAAGTGCTACTGCTACGATGGCACTGCCCAAGTTGCAAAAGTCCCTACTCTGTGTTGTAAGGGAAAGCAGTAACTGCGTGCGACGATCACCGGGCATCAGAGTAGAACATGCTTGGATACACCCAGAGGGGCTGCAACCTGCCGGACCAGCTTCTCTTGTACTCTACATTGGGACCAGCAGATGGATCTCGCTCGTCTCCCACTCCATGTACAATAAAAGAGCGACGGCCAGCATAGTACAGCGCCACTTGCTCCTCCCACCCCACCTCTCCGGACTCATGCAAGAAAACAGCCGGCTCCTCACATCACCCCCGACAAAGAGTGCCCAATTATCCAGCTGGTGTACCTCCACCCATTTTGCAGGGTTGGTCGACATGTCAATGTGGTGGGGTCTACATTGTAATACCGAGCAGCCTGGACTCATTTTATTAAAACGGGAAACCATGAGAAGCATATCGCCACAGACCACTAGCCATGGTTTTGCGTACGATATTGGGGCCAGGCCACCAACCCACTCAGTTGTCATCTCCTGCAGATAAAGCTGGGGGACAAGTGCAACGTGTAAATCTAATAACAATCATCCGTGGCGATGAACTGACCATTGAATTCCACAATATGTTCAATCCATCAGAAAGCTGGATATTGTCAAGCGAGGGGTGATGTTCTTGTTGATCGGTTCAATGACCTTACATATGCGTAGCTCGCGACCAGCATTGCTAGAAGGGAGATCAGGAGCTTGAACACATGTATTGAATTGGACGAGGAGAGGTGTGGGCATCTGGTGCAGAAGGTAGATTTGGTTGGGTATGAGGAGAATGCAGCACGCCAAGAGCGGCATGTTGCAGCGAAGGCAAGAACATCACGGAAGGATTCTGACGATGCAAGAATAGAGTCTAGCGGGCCATCTAGGAGGTCTGCTCAACCATGGAACCCGAGCACGGCAGGTTGCGGATACAGAGGCAACACACAGTTTGCTAGTGCTTTGCATTATGTCAAACTATCTGCAAAACACAATAAATTCAAAGAAAAAAATTAAAATATGAGGCAACGAAGAAATGAAAAATTAAAAGGATGGATAGCCAGCTAAAACCATGCATATGCTATTTTCAGGTCTAATATATGCCCTGTATCAAGACTTACAAAAAACACTCGACCCAAGGGGAGAGAAATCCCGAAGGCATTATATTGTAAGGTCGAGAAAAGGCCCCGAACACCGGCTTGCGCAGCGCAAGTATACGCAGCGAACACGCTGGCTTGCACAACACAAGTATACGCAGCGAGGGGCCTTTTTTGTGAGAACCAGGGTTAAACCCTGGTTGGTAGCCCCACTCCAGGAGATCTCTACCACCGCGCTAGACGCACGTTCTCGCCCTGTATCAAGACTTGTTATACTCTTTTAAAAATGGTCAAATACATCACTCGGCTTGGGTTTTTAGGGTGACTATTGTTTGTGTAAAACGGTCTTACACAAAGCCTTGCAAAACGAGCGGGCAGTCGAGATCGGCGGCGAAGGTGATGCGCCGGCGGCGGCTTCCCCAGCGTCCTGCAGGTGGTTGCCATGGCTCGCGTCGTCGCCTTCGCCCCTCCGTCCTCCCGGACTGGTCTGGTATCGTCTATGTTTTTTTTTTGTTTTTTTTTTGAGGGGTTGGTAACTTGGTATCATCTCCGCTCTAGTGCTGCATCATCGTAACCTTATTACTTTTTTTTTTGAGACAACCTAGCGAAGTTTTGTATTATGCCTGTAAACATTGTGATCGTAACCTTATTACTTAACTTGGACCAACAGCTCCGGCTACTCGTCAGGGCTGGGCTTCTTTGCTTAGGCCCAAGCACATTTAACGTGTGCAAGGCTCGGGCGCATCGATCGACGAGCGCCTCCGCCTCCTCGCCGACGAGGCGGCGATTCTGGTCGGAGACACCGGTAGACGGGCCGTGTGTGTGTCCATGGCCGGAGGAAGCCGCTGCCACCGCCCAAGAGCACGGCCGCCGGCATCATGCAAGACACACGTACGTGCAGTGTTATTCAGGCACATGCTTTATTCATTCAGAAACAGACGTTCATTGTTATTTCCAAGTTGCAACTAGTACAGTACAGGCCACGCATGATCATGCAGGTCACTTTTATTTGGCCACCACTACATTGAATCACAGACCCATCCATCGCCACATCTGGCCATGGGGATGCCGTAGGGGGTTGCAGTATGCCGGGATGTACACGCTGCACATCGACGGCAAGCTCTGAAGCGACATCCTCATGATCTCAAGCGGAGCTTGCTGCTGAGGCTGGTGCATGACCTGCCATTGCTGTTGGGGCTGCGGCTGCATGATAGCTTCAGCCACGCTGTGGATGGCCTGGCATCTGAACTGCTCTGGGATCTGCGCTAGCTGCTGGCAACAGTGGTGTCGCATTATATGGCAGCTGTTAAGTTGCCACATACGCGACTGGACAAATGGCAGTGTCACTGTGCTGCACTGGTGCCACAGGAATTGCACACATGGGTCCATCTGCTGCTGCCATTGTTGCCATGATTTTTGCTGTTTACAGGTAGTGTCCAGCTGCGCAATAACGTTGGTGCCTGCAAGGGTTAGGAGTGCAAGGATGAACAATGTCTTCATGATGATCTTCATTGGTAGTATTCTATTTATAGGTCACCCTCGGTCCACGGTCGCCTGGCGCTTTTCCATCCACGGTCCTGCAGACCATCAACATCCGGCATCACGTTCCGGTCACCCTCGACCTCCATGCCGGCAACTACGCCCAGTGGCGCCGCTTCTTCCTCACCATAGTCGGCATGTTCGGTGTGCGCGACCACCTCGTCGCTCCTGCCGCCCCTCGCCGTCGCGATCCCGAATGGGTCATGGTCGACCACTGTGTCGTTCATTGGCTCTACTCCACCGTCTCTCCCGAGCTGCTCGACGCCGTGATGCAGCCCGACGACACTGCCGACGTGCTCTGGGCTGCGATCGAGGGCATCTTCCGTGACAACAACCTCTCCCGGGCGGTGTATCTCGATGCCGAGTATCACGCTGTGGTGCAGGGCGACCTCACCGTGATGTGGTACTGCACTCGCCTCAAGTCCTTCGCCGATCAACTTCGCGACCTCGGCCAGCCTGTCTCCGAGCCGCAACAGTTGTTCAACATGCTGCGCAGGCTCGGGCGCCAGTACCACACCGCGATCCCTCACCTCACCTCGTGTGTCCCGCTGCCTACGTTCCTTAGGCCCGCTCCTTCCTCCTCCTCGAAGAACATCGCGCAGAGCAGGCGCGTCCACGCTCTTATCGCAGCGCGTCCGCCGGTCAGCCCAGCGCCCCCGGCGCCTTCTTCCGAGGGCGGGGCTGGTCGCGGGCGTGGGCGCAACCGTCGCCGCGGTCGGGGCAACAGGGGGGGGGGGCTCGTCTTCGGCTCCACCACCCTCGACTCCGCTCGTTCCCCGCCCGGCTGCGTTACCAGGCTCCTCCCCGAGTGCTCACTCCTGGACAGGCATGGTCCAGGCGTGGCCTATGCCCTGGCGTGCGCCAGGGGCCGGCGTTCTCGGGCCCCGCCCAGGCGTCCCGACACAGCAGGCTCTCTCCGCCGGTGGTGCGCCTCCCGCGCCACTCACGTATGGCTATGGCGGGTATCCTGCGCTCCTCCCCGGGTTCACCTATGGGTCACCAGGGGCCAGCTCCAGCAGCGCACCTCCACCACCGCAGCAGCCATGGGACATGGGTGGCCTCCAGACTGCGCTTCAGGCCACGCACTCATCCTCGCCCCCGCCACCGGCCAGCACCTCGGACTGGTACATGGATTCGGGCGCCTCATCGCACATGACATCCAACCCTGGTACTCTCCACTCCCTTCGTCCTTCCTTTCCCCCTCGTGATATCATTGTTGGCAATGGCGGCCGCATTCCCATTACACACACTGGTCGCGGCTCGCTCATCGCTAACAATTCCTCTCTCGAGCTCCACAATGTGCTCCTCTCTCCCTCCATTATCACCAATCTTCTCTTTGTACGTCGTCTTACTCGAGATAATCCTGTGTCCGTGGAATTTGACGCTTTTGGGTTTTCTGTCAAGGATATCCGCACCCGCCTGGTGATCCTTCGGTGTGACTCGAACGGCGACCTGTACCCGGTGTGCTGCAACCCTGCCGTCCCGCGTGCTAGCTACTCCGCCGGCGTCGCGTCTGCTGAGTTGTGGCATAGTCGTCTTGGGCATCCCGGCACGGAGGTGCTCCGTCGTGCCCTGGGTCAGTTCGAGTTCACCTGCGCGCCTTCCACTCTGCACTCCTGCTCGGCGTGTGGCCTCGGCAAGAACACACGCCTGCCGTTCGCTGCCTCCACGTCTACTAGCTATTTCCCATTTGAGCTATTGCACTTAGATGTTTGGACTTCTCCAGTTGTTAGCATTTCTGGTTTCGAGTATTACCTAGTTATCGTTGATAGCTGTACGCGCTATGTATGGACATTTCCTCTTCGAAACAAGTCTGATGTGATTTGTGTGCTCACTGATTTCTACGCCTATGTTCATACTCAATTTGAGCGTCCCATCCTGGCTTTGCAAATCGATAATGGCCGCGAGTTTGACAACCTCGCCGTTCGCTCCCTTCTCTCTCGCCACGGCACAGTCCTTCGCCTGACATGTCCATACACGAGCCAACAAAACGGGGTTGCCGAGCGTGCTCTCCGCACTCTGAACGAGGGCGTGCGCGCGCTCCTCTTCCACGCCTCACTCCCACCCTGCTTCTGGGCTGAAGCGCTCGCCACCGCCACGCTCCTTCACAACTACAAGCCCTGTTCGTCTAGCTCGCCACATACCCCGCATGAACTCCTCCTCGGCGTAGCTCCCAACTACTCCGCTTTGCGCGTTTTCGGCTGCCTATGTTATCCCAACACCACCTCAACTGCGCGT